TTTACTTTGAAACAGTTAATTCTATATATGCTTTCCATTGTCTATGTTGTTATTGTTGTTATGTGCTGTTGAGTTGGACCCAACTCATAGCAACCCCTCCTTGGGTTTCCAAGGCAGTAACACTAAGGAAGTAGATTGCCCCATCTTCCTTCCGAGGAGTGTTACAGAAAGAGGAGACATCATTCATGGGCTATCATGTAAATGTTTTTCAGTTTAGTCTTTTCCCATTTATTCAACAAATACCTAAAGAGCACTTACTACATGCTAGGCATGGGTCTAGATGCTAGGGACACAGTCCAAGAAGAGAACAATTGATGTACATTTTCTCAAAGTCTCCCCCACTAGTGTGTGTATGGGGGGAGAAAATGAAGGGCTAGTATATAGGAGATACAGAGAAAAACAAAGTAAGATGTTGAGAATAGAAGCATTGGGTTGGGGAAATGATTTTATCTAGGTGACAAGGAAGGTCTCTTAGGGGCATTGGAAAAGACTTGAATGAAGTGAAGAATCTCTATGGATATCTGGGGGCAGAGTGTTCCTGGCAGGAGTAGCAGTGCAAAGACCTTGAGGTGGAAGTGTGCCTCATGGGTTTGAGAGACAATGTGGAGGCCAGGTGACTGGCCAGGAAAAAGGGGGAGGAGAGGGATCTCAAAGGTGATGAATTGCGTCAGGCAGGGCAGTGCTTCTCAAGTGTAAATCCCTTGGGAACTTGTTAAAATAGAGATTCAATGAAGGTTTGGGTGGGGATTTTGTGTTTCTGACAAGCTCCCAGTGATGTTCATACTGCTCCATTGAAGGTGTTGCTGGAGGTGAGGTCACCAACAAAGTAGGAGAAAAGGTGGTTCCTGGACAGCAATGAGGGTTCTTTACCAGAAGATGTCTGAACAGTAAAAACAGGACCCCTAACTTGTTTAGGTTATATGTGCACCCTTTGCTATACCCATCATGGTAAGAGTGTGTGGTCCAGGAAGAGAGCAGTCCTGTCATAAACCCCCACAAGACCCACAGGTGCTAGAATAGGTCTTTTCCAGAGCATTCAGTCTACCTCAGATGGCATCTGGAGCCACCTTCTCAGCTGCTGTCCCTTTTGCCCCATGTTCTCCCAGTTCCACAGCACAGGAACATAACATTGCCACCTGGGACTAGCTGCTCCCAGCTCCTTCTTATGAACAGCACTGGCCCTGGCCTTGCAGGCCTTCAGATGCCACCCCTCACAGCACAAATTCACCATGTTCTTCTCAAAGACCTACTTCTGGATTAGTGATGGAGACAAAAACCTGTAAAAATGGCTTGGGGGCAGCAGCTGACCTCCTCTAAATTAATAAGGGGGGGGGGAGAAGAATCAAGATCAACAGCCCAAGGCCTCCACTCACCAACCTATTACCAATTCTGACACCAACCATACCTCCCACAGCACTCTCTACTTCTCTGCTGGTTCAATAATCCATTGCCATGGCTACACAGAACTCACAGACAATACAATTTATGGGGTTTATTAGGGAACTAACAGGTTATAATTCAGGATCAGGAGCATCCATACAATTCTTAGATTAGGACAGCCTCCCTAAGCCATGTCCAAAGGCAGGTCTCTCTTTGGCCATAGAGCCATTGGCTTGGCCTCTGCCCTGCTTGGGCAAGTGTTACAAAGCTCTTTTAGCTCTGATGCCTAGATGCCTAGAGGCACCTCACTTTGCCAGTAATCTTTGGCCCAAATGCACCCAACTTTTTCTCCCTGTGGGCCAGGAAAGCCACCACTCTGTCTCACACTGGTTTCTTGGGTTCTGCTGCCTGTGCTGCAGCCATCTCTTGCAATTTCATCAAATTTTTACAACTGTCTCCTGGGTCAAGGAGGTTGTGTACAGCAATCTCAGGTATAAAGGATGCACTCCACTCCTGGCTCTTTTTTCTTGATAATAGTGAGATCCCCCTTACTGTCTCTGGAATGGCTCATTTTAAGTTTAGCAGGATGGCAAAAATGACCAATCCCCACATTAGAGTTCAATACACCCTATATATTTGCATGGTTCCACCCCGACAAGATACCGCATGGCTTAAAATCAGGCAGGGAGTGTGTCAGGGTTGTATCCATTCACCATACATATTCAATCTGTATGCTGAGCAAATAATCCAAGAAGCTGGACTATATGAAGAAAAGTGTGGCATCAGGATTGGAGGGAGACTCATTAACAACCTGAGATATGCAGACAACACAATTCTGCTTGCTGAAAGTTAGGATGACTTCAAGTACTTACTGATGACCATTGAAAACTACAGTTTGCAGTATACACTACATCTCAACATAAAGAAAATGGAATCCTCACAATAGGGCCAATAAGCACCATCACGGTAAATGGAGAAAAGATTGAAGTTGTCAAAGATTTCATATTACTTGGTCCCACAATCAACACTAATGGGAAGCAGCAATTAAGACATCAGAGAGCATACTGCTCTGGGCAAATCTGCTGCAAAAGACCTCTTTAAAGTGTTGAAGAGTAAAAGTGTCTCTTTGAAGACTAAGGTGTGCCTAACACAAGCCATGGTATTTTCAATTTTCTCATATGCATGTGAGAAATGGACAATGAATAAGGAAGACCAAAGAAGAGTTGATGCTTTTGAGTTGTGGTGCTGGCAAAGAATACTGAAAGTACCATGGACTGCCAAAAGAGCTAACAAATCTGTCCTGGAAAAGTGCAGCAGGAATGCTCTTTGGAAGTGAGAATAGCCAGACTTCATCTCACCTACTTTGGTCATGTTGTCAGAAGGGACCATTCCCTGGAAAAGGATATCATGCTTGGTAAAGTGGAGGGTCAATGAAAAAGGGGAACACCCTCAACGAGATGGATTGACACAGTGGCTGCAATTATGAGATCAGGTATAGCAAGGATTATGAGGCTGGCACAGGACCAGGCAGTGTTTCGTTCTGTTGTACACAGGGTCGCTATGAGTCAGAGCCAACTCAATGGCACTTAACAACAACAGCAACACCCCCACAAGTGAGCCACGAACCTTATTTATATTATTGGAAACCTATCCAAACCCCTTGGTGGACCACATGCACCTGACATTTGCATTGTCCTACCCAGTCCAGCCACTCTGCAGAAGGAAGACAGGACAATCTACTTCCATAAAGATTTGCCACCTCATAAACCCAATGGGGGTCTCCATGAGTCAAAATTGACTTGGTAGTGAGTATAAAGACTATAGCTATATGTGCCATATGAAGTAATTCAATGCACCACAAAGCCCCTTTACCAGCATCTGCAGACAGTATCTCTCACTGGAAAGCCTGTGGTTCCCATATGTGTCATCCCTGGCCCTGACTTTGGCTGCCTCAAGGTCTTTTGTGCTTCCTCATTCTTGTAAACAGGACTGACCAATACAACACTGTGCAGTAATGGTGATGTTCTTATCCCTGTGTGCAGCATGGCAGGACACCAATCATGTATAGTCTTAAGCATTTTAAATGTGTCCAAGGAATGAATTTTTAATTTGATTTAATTTAATTTCAATCTAAATAGCCACATGTGACTAATGTACTGGACAGTAATCTAGAAACATAAATTTACCAATAACAGTCTAAGATAGGTGGTGTATTATTGTATATTTCCTCCTTGTAAGAAGATGAACTTTTTTTTTTTAAGTTTCTTCTTTAGAGAGAACAGCCCTTTCCAGTTTTGCCCTGAGCATTACATTCAGAAAAAACAAACAAACAAGTATTATTTGATCAAAAACATCACAAAAAACAGAAGAGAAAAACAAAATAAAGTTTATTGGGCTCCCCTGCAGATCAGTCTGTGAGGTCCTACATCCATCTGGCTTTATATCAGCAATTTCATCTATCACATTATGACAAGCATAGATAAGACAGTAAGTGCTGTGGCAAATGACCATTGATCAATGCTCTCCAGACTTTGCTCTGCACCCTCCATCATACATGCTTAGTTAATCAATAAGCATACTGTGACTTAAAGATTTACATCATCTTGCTAATGTTCAGAGAACTTAAGGCACATTAATTTAAAAAGCAAAATAAAAGACCCTTGATTCAGTGCTCCAAGACTCAGCATAGGGAATTAGTTGCTACTGTCACCAAGCCCCAGAATGAAGAACAGGCAGCATTTTCCTAGGGCCCAGACTTGCCAAATCAGTGGTGTTACAAGTTGCCTGAGTTCTCGCTGGCCTACATTGACAAGCCCATGTGCTTGAAGCAATGTTGACCTCCTACCCAGAAAAAAGATCACAGCTTGAAGAAAAGAACACGTGGCTGGGTAGCTGTAGAAATGAGGGGAGCATGTTCACACCACGGCTTTTAGGAGTTGTTTCATTCATTATAACAAACCAGGTACAGGAAAACAGTATGCAAGGACAGGGTTCTGCAGATCTGACCCTCTCAAGACAGCTGTGTTTAGATGAAGTACAAGCATTTCCAAGTCAGCTAAACAGTAATTAAAAATGCTCCCTCTGATGCTCAGTACAATTACTCACCAGTGGAAGCAAAAATGGAGCTTTGCCCATCTCTAAGTGTTACAAAGTCCAGGTACTTTATTTTCTCAATATATAAATGTAGAAAAATAAAATCTCTGCCTTTTATACCTAGAAACATCTGGGTAAACATTATTGTTTCTAGGTGTAGATCATCTGGACAGGCATGTTTTCCCAAGTTTCTCACCTTCCTTTGTAGTCTCAAGAGGACACGGAAATGGGGATGAAAATGACTTCCACTCCATGAAGTCGAATTCTGGATAAGTGGTCAAATCTCACTCACATGTGATTATTCTTCCTATGGGTTACACTTCTGGGTTTGACAGCAGAAAGAAGAAAGGGATTTTAACTTGGACTGACTTCACATTAGCAATAGTGGGGATTATGTGCTGGGAAAGGATCACTTCTGGGATATTCAGGGAAATGCCAACCTCAGAGCCACATTCTGAGACAGAAAATCAGAGATTTGTGCAGTTGGTTTTGGTCAAAGACTCGCAGGTTGAGGCGTGTCCTCTTGACTAAGAGTTATGTCGCTTGTCTTTGTACTTCTGGTAGGCACTCTGTATCTCTGCGATGACACTGGGGTCCTCCAGTGTGGTGGTGTCCCCCAGATCCTGAGTTCTGCTGGTGACTATCTTCTTCAGGAGCCGCCTCATGACTTTTCCAGACCGTGTTTTAGGGAGACGTTTTACCACCTAGCAAGGAGCAGATGCACCATTAGGGTTTGCAGGTGGTAAGAATAGCCCTTGATACTGGTTGGTTGATGAGTATGTGTCCTCCCCAGAGAATGGTAGGGGTCAATGAACTCCTCCACCTTTTTCCTCATACAATTTGCATCTAATGCTGAAATAATCCCAAGGACAAGATAAATAATTCTTAGGAGATCTGTGATCAAGTCAGGGGTCTCTGAGGCCCTCCCCATCTGGTGATTACACCTCATTTCTGATGCTTCTATTTCTTCTATTCTACTGTGCCAAAGGAGAGCTTCCCTAGCAGCATAGTCAAGCACAGTGGGATGGTACCTCATCTCCACTCCTGGCCTAAGACTCAGTTGGCTTTGTCTTACATTAAGAATTGAGAGCTACTTGAAAGCTTTGTCTTGTTAGTGTTTGAACATTTAATCTTTAACATTTCAAAACAACCATGACACATTCAATGTAAATGGCGATACATGGAAAAGTATACTTCAGACCTTTAATAGTGACAGTGTGTTTATAAATAATTTGGTTCACCTAAGGGTAGTTCAAAGGCACTCTGGTGACACAGTGCCTAAGGCATTTGACTGATAACCAGAAGGTTGATGGTTCAAGCCCACCAGACACTTCACGGAAGGCAGATGGGGGCAATCTGCTTCTGTAAAAATTTACTGCCTCAGAAACCCAATGGGGGTTGCTATGAGTCAGAATTGACACAATGGCAGTGAGTTTGGTTTGGTTTTATGGGTAGTTCATGTATTCCTGAATCTAGTCAACAGATCACTATTTTAAACCTTTAAAATACCAAATAGTAAATGAAAACAGTGAAGGTAAGAGGCTCCTGTCCACATCTGAACTGAAAATGGGCCTCTTGCCTCAGAAGACCATAAGCAAACCAAAGCATTGCTAGAGGAAGTACTGATAAAGAAGAGGACAAAAAGGCTAAAGGGGCTAACAAGTGGCCTGTTTCTTCCCAGAAAGTGACTCAAATACAGATTCCCTCAGACAGGGTCTTCTTATACTTTCCTTACTGGCACCAGAATGTGTGGGAAATAAATTGTTCAGAGACCACATGGAGGCTGAAGAACTCTAGTACTGGTTATATGCTTCTCTATTTAAAATCCCTAATTTCTTCACCACCCAGTCCTGTTCCTGTAACAAGCCTGCATACGGGTACTGTGTAGGATGGAGACCTTCACAGCATGGCTGTTCCTGATTGGCTGTGTGACAGCATCTAAACCTGACTAAAACCTAGAACTGTTTCCTAAAGGGATGAATTGTGCAGTGTTTTGGTGCTGTTTCTCTCTCTCTTCCTTTCCTTCCCTCCCTCTTTTTCTCCCTCCCTCCCTCCATTTCTCTCTCTCTCTCTCTCTCTCACACACACACACACACACACACACACACACACACGCACTGTAGCAATGCTCCATCCTCACTTCCACCCAGGAGAAACCAAACAGTTTTGATAGCACTACGTATGTGAGATCATGTTACTTGTTAGCTGAAAGAACAGGAGAGGAGGTTTCAGACTTAAGAGCAGTGACACCTCCGGAGGTGGGAGTCACTCACCAGAATCTGATCAGGCACTGCGTACTTGGCAATCTTGGTAGCCACTGCTGACCTGAGCTCCTTCACCACCACATCTAAGTCATCTGTATCGTCTTTCAAGACGATGAAGGCAAATGCAGCTGGAAGGAAAGCAATGATTTGGGGTATGCTAGGCTACACTCCTAGGAAGGAAGATTGGACACTCTATTTCTGTAGAGATACTACTACCTGGGGAACCTTAGGACGGGTCACTATGAGTTGGAAATGACTTGACAGCAGTGAGTGAGTTTGAGGCTACAAGCCATCCAGGGAAGAATGCTGTATACAAAAAACTATCAGTCCAAAGGACTTCCAAATCCAGTGTTGGTGACACTGCAGCAGTTGCTTTCTTCAATTGTATTCCAAAGGTTGCCTTTGATGGGCACTCCAATTTCCATTAAAAGTAGAAGTGAGTCTAATGGCTCCACAAAAGGTCCCTATGGTGGTCCTGTGTGTGATGGAAACCTTCAGAGCATGGCTGTTCCTGATTGGCTGTATGTGGCCCCAGACAGATACTTAATCTCCTTGAAAGGTTCACACTCTGGGAGATTCCCATATTACCAGCTCATTAGAGACATCTGTGAGGTGGTGCATGGGGCACAGAAAGCTGATACAAGTCTCGTGGGCACATGCTGGCCAGCATGGCAACCTCATTTCATGTGCTATCCAACTCCCATATGACTGGTAGTGCCTGGGTGGCCACACAGACAAAGTAGTTCCATCACAGCAGAGGTTCTGTTGGGCTGCCTGCCTATGCAGATTAACATAAGCACTAGGTTTAGTTTTCCAATGTACTGCCATATCCCATTGAGGATTCACAGTGGCTCTCAGTGTTTGCACCTGGAATTAATCTTTGTATAGGATGTGGCACGGGGGTCTTATTCCACACTTCATGTAAACAGACTCTTGTCCCATAAATGATGGCCTAGCTAAAGACACCAGAGGCTCAGCAGGTCTGGGTCTGGGTCCACAAGACCCATGGCCTGACATTAGTCAGTTCAAACAGAATAGAGGGAGTGACATAGAGAATGACACAGCATTAGCAGGCCACTGTAGCACCTACCAAGAACTGCACTATGTGATATAGATAACTGTTGTCCATATTGTTAGAAATCAAGAAAGTCAGTAACCAGAGCTATGACTTACAAGTTCCTCATCAGTGTGGTAGGCACTGAAAGCCTGGTAACATCAAGTGCCACTCAGGGTGCAAAAGAGAACATGTGGCTACAAAGAGTCCATCAAGTTCCCACTCTACAGCCAGGACTCCATGATGGACCAGACCCAAGGAAGCCCTGGATGGGCAGCAGCACTGAAAAGACCCCTGCTCCAGCACAGATTTGGCATGGGAGCCCCACCAGAGTGTCCTGGGAGATGGAATGACTCCTGAGAAAAGAAACTGGGTCAGAAATTCATGGCTCAATGAGCTTCCTTTCATCTTGCATTTGTTTCCTGGAGTTCCTTCAAGGTTGACAAGCTTCCAGAACAGGACAGAAAAGGCCTGGGTTATGGTTCCTGTCAGCAGAGTTGGGAGGGGCCCCTTGGCCTTTCTACTACCCAGGCACTGGCAGTACACACTGGCCTCAACCAGGAGTCTCAGCTGCAGATGGGGTTCCAATATTGAGAATGTACTTGTTCCCTCAACCCCAGATATAGGGGTTTGCCTATACTCTGGCCAGTGCCCAGGGCCACTGGAAGACTCCTAGTGACCTGTGTCTCCCCATGTATCTCTCATACTTCTCCTTTCTTAGCATAGGGACAGCAGACCTCAGGGGCACATTCTTCCCATAGAAAGGAAAATGCTTTTTTAAGCATTTGGAAAAGTGTTAAGTGTAAAGAAAACATCTGAGTACACACAGAACAGTGCATAAAATGGGGCAGGGAGTTGGATGACACTCAGGATATACTGCCATATGGGATGCTCCCTGACAGGCAGGCCATCTGCTGGCACTTCCCTGATACAGTGACATTGCTCTGGTCCAGGGTCAGCATGTGTCCAGGGCACATCAGGACAGTGTGGCCAGTTCAGACTTGGAATTTTGACACTGAGTGCTCCTGCCCCTCCCCAGGGCCAAGCATTTTGAAATAGGTGGAGTTTATCTCACAGCAGATTCTTATTAGAGCAGATCACCCTGGTCACTTTGCTCTGTATCCTCCAGCATGTCTGTGTGCATTGAGTAATAAGGGTCAGATTTCTCCAGAAAGAGGCTCACTCACCACATAGCCGGTCAAGGGCAAACCCTGACCTGTAGAACCTCCAGCAGGGGACACTTTGTTACAAAAACTCTGACAGTGTCCCACAGCTCCCAGGAAGGACAGGTGAGGACACTCTCTGAGCTCCAACTCTATGATTCATTGGGATTTCAGAATTGACCCTAATTCCACACACATGTTGTTCAGCCCCACACCCAAAATCTGCATTCATGAGAACTAGCTTAACCATGACACCACCATCCTCACCCTCTGTGTTTGCTGTCTTTCAGAGGATGTGGGAGAAGCCCTGTTTGAACACTCACCTTCACCTTTGATGTCATGGGGATAACCAATGACAGCAGTTTCTGGCACTGCAGGGTGGTTGGCCTGCGTACAACAGAAAATAAAAAGGGGATATACAGTAATCCTGGGTTCTAAAGGTCAAGTCACCACTCAAGGTGTCAATTCCTGCCCCATTCCACCCAATCCAAGGTCAACAAGGGCACCCTGGAGACAGAAGGTAGAGGATACCTATCTTGCTCACCATCGCATCCTCAATCTCTGCAGTCCCCACCCGGTGCCCGCTGATGTTGATGACATCATCCATCCGCCCCGTGATCTGGTAGTAGCCACTCTTAGTGCGGTGTGCTCCATCCCCAGTGAAGTAGTAGCCTGCACCCCAGAGAGGAGGACTCAGTGACAGAGCCCCTGGTCCCTATCATCCCATGAGGAACCACCAGGGCCATGTCTTGGCCAATCTGCCCAGTCCTGGTCTACTGCCCTCTACCTCTTCCTCACCCCATCTTAATGGAGACACTTCCCTACATGGTGGTTGTATGACTGTATTCTAGTAAAAGAGAGTTCAAAGACAACAGAACACTGATGGTTTTGTGACTACAAATATTTAGGGAACAGAAGATACATAAAGAGCATAAATCAAAAAGCTTGGGGGGGGAGGGGGGGAGGAGCAGGAGAAGGAAGAGGAGGAAGAAGAAGAGGAAGAAAGAAGAAGAAGAAGAAGAAGCAGCCTCATTTACAAGCCTGAGACTGAAAATTACTGGTACCACCAAAACATAGGAGATAAAGCTCATATAAAATTTCAACCCAATGACAAAAGCAAACCAGGAAAAAACAAAAAATGTCCCCAAAAAAACTCCCTGCCATAACTGTTTCCAGCGTGATTCCTCCAATGTGTTTCACAAGAACTCATAGGTGTGTCTCCCTCACATGAAGTCATTTCACATGAGAGATAAGGAGAGACAAGGAGGCAGAGGAAAGGGTGTAGGTGGGGGGCATTCAAACCAATGATTCTGAAATGCTCAACCTGACCTGCAGAACTACACTGCACTCATATTACTAATCTAAAAATATTTCTGAGTGTGGCCCAGCAGTCTGCAGGGAGGTTTGCAGTGTTCACCCAGCCCACTCACCAGGGTAGACTGTGAAGTAGGCACCCATGAATCTGGAGTGGCTCCCGTAGATAGTCCTGGCCATGCCTGGCCAGGCCTGTGAGAAGCACAGCGCCCCAGAGATGTCATTGCCTTCCATAATGCTCCCCTGTAGACAGGCAAGTCCGGGCATGAGAGACAGTCAGGTCAGCTCACTTCTGCCCATACAAATGATGACTGGTTCCAAAGGAATTGCCTCCAAGGATCAGAGAAGACTCAAGCTCACCCTTTCCCCCTGCAAGTTTTTCTAGTGAACGATGGGTGCTGATGCAGGACCTCCTGCCTCCCTGACCAGCTCTGGGCCCACTTGATGTGGGAGCAGCATCCTAGATACACAGGGCTGTTGGAGTACAAAGTACCTGGATGTTGGGGAGGCTGCCCTGCAAGCACACACACCTTCTCATCCATAATAACTGGGACAATGCCAAAGAAGGGTCTCATAGCCATGCTGGGTATGATCTCGGCGCCCTCCTCTGATGGCCGTGGTGAGATGCAGATGCCACCTGTCTCTGCAAGAGAAGAGGAAGAGAGGTAGTGAGCCTAGGGTCTCACCACCTTGTCAAGATGACACAAAAAAGGGGCATAGTGTGCTGCACTGTTCCCTCCAAGAGTATATGTTGGATGGGGACAAAGAAACAGAGGCCCTGGTGGCCTAAGGACCTTTGTTTGCAGCAGAACTAGACCTGGCTTCTGACCCCTGAGTTGCATAAGCAAGATTGACCTAGTATGGATGGTGTCTATGCCCAGGGCTCCTGGTGCCCAGTAGCGTGTGACTGGTGCCACTGTTCATCCTCATCTTCCGTTCCAGTCAATCCCTAGCTTAGATGCAGAGGATGCAGCCTACCCATTCATATGGAAGACAGGGGAAGAGAAAGCTCCAGGCTGTGCTCTTGACACACAACGAACAGTGAGGAGGGGTGCACAAGACCTTTTTCCTGCTGTTTCTAGGCTCTGCTTGTGTGGAAACACCTCTAGACTCAGTGCAGGGAGAATTTCTGAGTGGGATGGGAGCTGAGACATCCACACATCTCATTTTCTGCTGCTCTAAGAACAAGTCAGTAAAAACTACCTTCATTATATCATTGTATCCAATGATGTACCTCAAATATCCCAGAAAGTCAGGTGACCAAGAGGGGAGGGAACAAGCCAAATAAAAATATCACCCAGAAAATTCCCTTTCCCACTTAAATTTAAATGTAGACTCAGGGTTCCTTAGACAGTAGGGCCCTCAGTTTCAGGAAATGTCTCCTACAACTAAGTGACCATTGAACTGAGCCCAAGCAAGGCCCTATATATACTTTAGGTATATTCCCTCACCTAACCCTGTCCAGGAGCCTGTGAAGGAGCGCCCAAATTTTATGAACAAGCAAACTGGGTTCAGAGAGTTTGCTACACACCCCACGTCTGATCATGGAACCAACCCCAGAGTATCCTCACTGTCAACACCTGTGCAGTTGTAGGGCTGATGGGACTGAACTGCATTCATCTGCTGTGAACAATAAGCTCACTCTAATCTCACCCTGCACCCCTGAGCTGTTCAGTGTCCTCACCCAAGATATCAGCTGCCCAGGGAAGCCTGTGCCCAATGATTCCATCACAACACCTGAGATGTTCTCACCTGTCTGCCACCAGGTGTCAACCAGTGTGCATCTGCCATCCCCCACCACTTTGTGCAGCCATTCCCAGGCCTCATGGTTGATTGGTTCTCCCACTGAAACCACACAGTGAAAGAAAAAAGCATTAATAGACCTCAAAATAAGCTGAAACCAAAGGAGAAACTGTTGAGGGAAACAAGCTATATGATTTTATGAAAGATGTAAGAGGGGACTGAAAAGGCAAGGAGAAATTATGCTACATCATCCAAGAAGTACAGATTTACTATGACCTTCACCATTAGAGAGTCAAAAATCAATAAGGTGCCAAGATTATTCATTTACACGTAGGATATAATTTGAAATAGCAATTTTGGGAAAGAATTTGAACATTTCTCTCAACATCTGAAAATGTATACACCTGATACAAATATTTTTGGACCACTGTTTGGCAAAATCTACTAAACATATTGTGGTTAGTCATTGAGTTGGTTCTCACTAATGGTGACCTTATGTATAACAGGAGAAAACATTACCCAGTCCTGCACCATACTCATGATCATTAGTATGTCTGACACTATTGTTGTGACTATTAGGTTAATCCATGTCATTGAAGATTTCCTTCATTTTCATTGACTCAATGCTTTCCCACATGTCCTTTTCAAGTGAATGATCTTTTCTAATGATGTGTCAAAGGTAAGCCAGACAAAGTTCCAACATCCTCGCTTCTAAGGAACATTCTGGATGTACTTCTCCAAGAGTAAAGTGTTTCTTATTCTGGCAGTCCATGGTATATTTACTATTCTTCACTACCACCACAATTTAAATGTGTCAATTCTTTCTCAGTCTTCATTTTTCACTGTTAAAAATTCACATGCATATGAGGCAATAGAAAAGACCATAGTGTGGATCAGGTGCACTTTAGTCATCAAGGTGAATCTTTGCTTTTTAACACTTTAAGGAGGTCTTTTGCAACAGATTTTCCCAACGTAATACATTGTTTCACTTATTGACTGTTGTTTCCATGGATGTGGATTATTGATCCATATAAAATGAAATCCTTGTTAACTTCAATTTTTTTTTTTTCCATTTATCATGTTGTTTATGTGTTCAGTTGTCAAGATATTCATTTTTTCACATTCAGGTATAACCCGTACTGAAAGCCATACTGAACATACTCCAAAAACTAAAACCAAACTCACTGCCATAGAGTCAATTCAACTCATAGAGACCCCTTCTTGGGTTTCTGAGGTGGTATGTCTACATAAGTAGATTGCCCAATATTCCTTCCCAGGAGTGACTGGTGGGTTTGAACCGCAAGCCTTCTGGTAAGCAGTCACATGCCTTAGGTGCCTTAAACCACCAGAGTTCTCACTGAACATATTACTAAACATAAAATTCCATTACCCCAAAATAACACTTTTGGGTAATGTTGAATGAAATGAGCACACTCAAATACTTTACACAGGTTGACTCTCACTCAAGACTATCTACAAACCAGAAATTCTCTGATTCCTGCCTTGGCAGGCACCTCCTGGGTCTCCATAAAAGAGCAAGAAGGTGTTCACTGTCACACCTGTTGGGCCTCTGGGAAACATCAGAACTGCATGTTCAACCTTGCAGACAGGGATGAGTAAGCCATAGGAGTCCCCAAGATGTGGGTGCCTCTGCAGATACCAAGCAGATTCATGGAAAACTCCTCACGTTGCTGAATGATGGTAACAGTGATAGTTTGTTGGTGCTCCTATCAAGAAGTAACCTCCCAACAGAGCTGCATCTTTGTACATGATCACACCTGGACAGAATGGGCTGGAGGCTCACAGACACACAAGGCCTCTCTGAGACTGTAGCTTTCATTGCAAAATTCTCAGTATTCTTTTTCCCAACAAAAACATATTCATGTTACTTGTGAGCTTGAAAGTAAAATAAACAAAGAAACAAACATTTTTAAGAAAAATAAATCTAGGAGTAAAAGTCTTCAGTTTAGCTGGATCTTCCCTACTGGGAAGATTAAAGAAAGTCAACATGCACATAGCCCGGTGTACCTGAGGGTTTCTTCCAGCTAGCCTGGAGCTGGCCTGAGTTGGCTCTTTGAATAGGAGATGTCCCAGCTTAGCACTGATATCCCTGAGACATAAAGCAAACGCACTGGCAGTGGAGCTGGACCAAAGGGACTTGGGGGTCCATGCTGCTTGTAAGCACAGTATACTGATGACAGTAGATAGTTGATTTGCACCTCGTCTTGAGAAATCCCACAAGGCTCTCACTGCAAGGATGTAGTAAAAAAAGAAAAAGCCTGTTGTTGTCAAGTCAATCCTACTCACAGTGACCCCGATGTGACAGAAGACATTGCTCCAGAGGGATTTCTTAGCTGTAATCTTTACAAAAACAGATTGCTAGACCTTTCTTCTGCAATGCTGATAGGTGGGTTTGAGCCACCAACTTTTCAGCCAAGAGCAAACCTTTAGCACCACTCAAAGACCCTAGAAATGTGCCTAGAGACCAGGTAAGCCTTTGTTTGGAATGCTTTGGTTCAGAGAAGCTCCCAGTCCAAGAGAGAATGTATATTGGCTGTAGCTTCATAGAGGCCTGCAGGGCCTGTGCATGGTCTCAGTTCAGGGTAGGGGAGCTCACTTTCATGCAGTTGTTGCAACACATCCTGTCCTGAAGCACACTGCAGAGTGGCTGTCTTGCCATAGGTACTGTGAGTCTCCTTAGCAACCAGTCCTATGGGTGCCCTTCATCTCTGTCCCCACTCAGGCTACTAGGTAGCACCTATGAAGTGTGTGCCACCATGCAAAGCCTGGATCTCACCCAGAGTCCAAGGATCCACATGGGCAACTGTAGCACTGGCCACATCTGTGTTGCCTTTAGGTTCCCAAGCATTGCCTGAACATAGCACAGAGATGGTGCTGTGGAACCTAAGCTGGGTGGCAGGCACTGGCCCTTCACACTGGGCCACCAGGCAGAAAATGAAGTCTTGCTCTCAACAGCCCTGGCAAGTTGGGAGAGGGTCTCTGATTCACATCCCATCCAGAAAGGGGTCCAGATCTTACTGAGATGATGCTTATGTCCCCAATTCTGCTGATCCCAGGTGTGGTCACTCAGATACTCCTGTGCCCACACAGGGAGGGCCTGACATCTGAAATGGAGCCTCCTCTCCCCAGCAGCTGCACTCAGGGAAGTTTTGGGCCTCATGTTCCTGTGGGGCCAGTCCATGTTACTGCCCATGTGCTGCCATGTCCTCAGCACAATTGAGGCTGGCCCTGGCTCTCACTGAGTGCACAGGAAGAAACATCACTCACTATCCACTGAGCTTCTCGTGGGCAAGGAGGTGGAGCTGCATGCTGGTCAGGAAAGGAATGAAGCTAGGCCAGTAGTGGTCTTACTACTCCTTCGGGCCCTGTGAGCTTCTTGAGTGACAGCTTAGGAGGATGGGGCTACACTATGCCAGGCTCTGCTAGCACACACCCTCAGCAAAGCCAACAACATGAGGATAAGTATCCTGACTAGAGTACAGGGTCACAGTAAATAGACCATACACTGGGGAACACACAGAGTAGGCCTGGGTGGAGGGCTGACATTCTCAGAGGCAAGCAGCGTGAGGCTCTCCATGCTGAGGGAGGGGACAATGGGGGGACAGAAATAGGGACCTAGAGAAGTGTGAGGGTTGGAAGTGAATACTAGAAGGCTCTGGAGCCAGGCATGGGGCTTAGCAACAACTTTCCACCTTGTTTACTGAATGACCTTGGGGAGTTCTGTAACCTCTCTATGCCTCAGTTCCCTCCTCTGTAATGTAGGTGCACATCAGTGCTTAACTCACAGGGCTAACATGAGGATTAAAGTATTTAATAAATATTGGCTGTCATTAATGTTAAAGAGCCCAGGTGGTACAGTGGTTAAAGTGCTCGGCTGCTAACCAAAATGTCAGAAGTTATAACCCACTAGTTGCTCCATCCATGGGAGAAAAATATGATAGCCTGCTTCCATTAGGATGTACAGCATGGAAACCCTATGGGGAAGCTCTACTCTGTTTTTTACAAGGTTGCTATGAGCCAGAATAGACTCATCTGCAATGAGTTTGGGGTTTTATTTTTTTACAATAATTAATAATACTCAAACCCCAAATTGCTGCTGTTTTCTAATCTAAAAAGTTCTTTGGGAAACATAATGGTTTTGTATTGTTAAGCAAAAAGGGAAAAGAGGAAAATGGGAAACTGAGTGCAATACTTTTTTTTTTTATTATTATTGTTATGATTTGGGTGAAGATTTACAGAGCAAATTCGCTTTCCATACAACAGTTCACATACACTTTGTCTCATGAAATTGACCACAGTTTACCACAATGCAACAGCTCCTCTCCCACTTCCTCCCCATAGTTACTTCTTCCCAGTGTCCATCCCTCCATGAACTCCTGCCCCCTGAGCTGTCTCCCTGTGCATAAGCAGCCCTTCTTTTTCCCATGATTGTTCTCTCCAAGGAGTGTATCTACCTGAGGAAAATTTTAACTCATATGCCTGTCTTTTGTTTGACTGGAAACCACAGGTGTGGGTTCAATTCCAGAGCTGAAGGGCAGTTAGGGGCCATAGTCTCAGTGGTTCCACCAGGATCTATCAGACCAGCAAATCTGGTCCCCCCCATTTTTTTTTTTCTCCAAAAGATTTTGAGTTTTGTTCCACATTGTTCTCCCTCTCTATCAAGGGTCTCCTACATAGATCCCCTTCCAAGTGGATGACAGTGGTAGCTGGGCACCATCTAGTTCGTCTGGTCTCATAGTCATATAGGCTGCAGATCCGATGCTGTATCAGTCGCTAGGACTAATTGTTTCCATGAATTTCAGTTTTCTTCATTCTTCTTTGCTCTGGATGAGGAGAGATCCATCGTTGCATCTAGATGGCAGCTTGCTAGCTTTTAAGATTCCAGTCACTACTCGACAGAGTAGGAGGTGGAACAATGTTTTGTATAGTATGTTATGCCAATTGAGCTTAATGTCCCCTGTGACTATGGTCCCAAGCCCACAGGTTCAACTACTTGGTCCCTCTGGGTAGCTGGCTGTGACGAAGCAGTGACCACAACCTTGCCCCTTGTCAGCTCTACTATATACCTGGGAATTCTGATC